TATGTCTTAAAACTTTAAAATTAGCACAATTTGGTTATATACAATGGATTGCCATTACAGCAAGTAATACAATCAGGTGAAATTAAGAGCATTTTTTTAGAAATATCTAAAGACCTTGGTCACAATAAATATTTGGTCTTTAGAACTGTGGGAATTAAGATTTAGTCAGGTAGTAATAAGGCTGTGGTCTGACTTCACCTAACCAAGTCAGGCTTTTTACACACTACCAAGCATTGTAATTATAGTCTAAGTCTGTCTTTTTACCCTGCTCAGAATGTGCTGTGCATGTGCATTAATTCATTTAATAAACATTTATTGAGCACCTGCAGTGTGTCAGATACCTTGCTAGATGTTAAGAATATGAAGGTACAGTCACTGATCAAAAAGAATTTACAGACTACTGAAAGAGACGGCCAAGTGAACCAGTGGCTCCCATACCCCATTTAGAGCCCAGCCTAAAATTATTTAGCCAAGGTGTTCTGGAAGCACAGAAGAAGGGCATTTAAATGAGAGCAGGTACCTTGAACTGACTCTTCAAGGATGACAGGCATAAGCTAGGAAGAGCATTCCAGGCACAGAGGTCAGGACACACAAAGACACAGAGGAAGGAATTAGCTTGGTGCTAGTAGGGAATGACTAGTAATTTAGTGTGCCTGGAGCAAGGGGTGGGCATGCTTAGGGGAGCTGGTGAGAAAGCTCAAGAGGTAGGCAGGAACCAGAGCATAAAAGGCTTGGTGTGTAGAAAAGACCTGGACCAAGAAATAAAGAGACCTGGATTTTCACCCTGTTCCTACCAGTATTCCATATGTGTCCTCAAGCATGTCATTGGGCCTTAGTGACCTCAATGTACAACCAGAGACCTGGGAAGAGTCATTCCCAAACCATGTTCTGGATAAATTGTTCCAGTAGCTGTGAAAAGATGGGCTATGAAAAGTGTTTACTTTTTTACTAGTGTTTACTTCACTAGTTAGGGAAAGATTAAATACTACATTTGCCTCTTTAAGATTAACAATGACATCAGCATATTAAAAGTTTTCAAAGTTCTCCAGTAAAGAAACCACTTTAATTTTCTTTAATTCAGAATTTTCCAAATTATTTGAACGTGGAACCGGTTCTCTATAATGTTAATATTAGTGTCATTCTGCAACGTGCCATTTTGGCAAACAATGGACTAGCTCTCAAAGGTCCAATCACATATTTCATTCATTCATTAGATTTTTGAAAAGTGCAGAACCAAAGATCTGGTTCTTATACGCCTGCTTCTTCTTTAGATTGCTATTATATTCCTATAATGAGCTTTGGTTGTTTATTTTTCATAGCAATGTTTTTCTTCACATCAGCTGTCCTGGGATATTTTTTTCCTTTTCTCATGTTTCATGTCATGCTTTAATACCTGCTAATAAGTTGCAAGAAATGTGAATTGAGTTGTTTCTAAACAAATATCAATCATTTGTGATGTGTTTAATAGAAATTATAATAATAAAATCAGGGTTTTACTTATTATAAAGTCATTATATTTGACATTGGCAAATCTCAAAATTAATAATGAGTCAGTAAATCATTTGTGATGCTGAA